AACTCTCTCCACACAAGAAAACAAAACTCTGAACCTTCCTTTCTCAGGGACCCAGAGTCCCCAACCTAGAGGTTCTTCTTTCTTTCAGGAACCAACTATTTTTCCCAGCATTTGGTCCCAGAAAACGAGGGAGGGGGCCCTTGACAGCTCACCCCCAAGGTGTGAGTCTCCCTCTACATTATCTTGCGGGGCTCGGCCTGACTGTGTCTCCCTGGGATTTATCTCCCATCTCTGTCCTTCCTTCTGCTTCCTGGGCTCTTTTTCCTCTTCCAGTCCTGTCTCCTCCTGCCTGGTCTCTGCCTGTCCACCCTCCTCCTCCCGACTTTCAGGGCTCCCGGCCTCTCTCCCTCTGTGTGCCTGTCCTTCCACAGTCAGTTTCTGAAACCCCAAGTTGCTGTCTCATGTCCCTCCATCTCTCAATGTCTCTCCCAACTTTGTGTCCCCTTCTCCTTGAGTCTTTCAAAGATCTTTCTGTGTCCCTAAATAGTTTGAATAATGCCAAAGGAGCTATGTCAGGGGGAGTGGGAGGTGCAGCTTCCTACACCCCAAAGCTGTTTATTATCCTAGCCACCTGAGACCCACCCTTGCCCAAGACCCACCCTTTTCCCTCTTCCATGGCACCTGATAAAATGGTAGCTGAGATTTTGCTACAATGACTAAATAATGATGCTTTTGATGGTATCCAAATACCACCTTTAGGGTCTACCCAAGCAGGCATCATTTTTATAAAAAGTGTGTCTACCATCCAAGCTTAGGTAATTTCAAGATTTGAGCAGTTAAATGTTCACATAAATAAATTTGCAAACCAAGGCAGAAAAATAACAGTAATTCTTTATCATGAGAGCTAAACTCACCTAGCACTTATATTGGGTACTGCTCTAAGGACTGCTCATGTATTAATTCAGTTAAACCCCACAAAAGTAAGCTAGTCTCATTCCCACGAGACACAGGGATGCCTTTACCAGGCCACCACCTGCAATTTCATACAGAATCCATGCTTATCTCACTCAGGGGTGGAGAAGTTCAACTAGGGCAAGAAGGTCCCAAAGTAGGTGCTGGGGATGTAGCTCAAGGGGTAGGGCACTTGCCTAGCATGAATGAGGCCCTGAGTTCCAAATCCACAGTGGAAAAAAAAAAAAAAAGCAGCAAAGGAGAGAAGGCATATTATCTGAGCAATGTTTGGTGCCAGGCCTAAAGTCATGCACTTGACAAGCATTACCTCCTTACTCTTCATCATAATAATATGAAACAATAGCTAACACTTATGGTGCTCTTAGTATGTGCCCATTAGCACACTGCATTACAGATGCTTACTCATTGAATCCTCTCCATAACTCATGAGGCCAGCAATATTCTGATTTAATATTTTTTGACCACTATTATTCTCATCCCCATTTTACAGAGGAGGAAACAGGTACAGCTCATAAACGACAGAGCCAAGATTCAGAACCAGGCAGTCTGGCTCCAGAGTAGATGAATTTAATAGACTGTGGTCCTTCAGAGCATGAGGATGCCCCATCACATCCTTAGGAAACTAAAATCTGAACCAAAGCTAATACACATTAAGTTTCCTTAGATGCCTGGGAAAGTCAGGGGTATGTAGCTGCTGCAGCCTGGGCAGGAGTGCAGGTTGGACCTGACCTGGGGCTCAGGACTGGGAGTGGGTGAGAGGGAGGGCTCAATGTTTACGGCATAGGAGGGGAGGGGGTCCCCATAGAAGCTGGGGAATTATAGGTGAAGCTGACCAAGGCAAAATGTGATCTACAGAAGACTAACAAGGCCTAGGATCCAGCAGAGGGAGCACTGTGTGCAGGAGGCTTTGGTCATCAGTACAGGTTGAGAAGGTTCATGGGGTGGGGATTCTAAAGGAAAGTGGCACACATGGACCCCTGGGTTCTCTGCAGGGCTCAGAGTATATAAGATATCGAGCAGATGATCTAGGTTCTCCAAGAATCCTTGGGAGCCTTGAAGAACCTCAAAGGGGCCCTTAGAATTTATTCAGCCCCAGATTCTATTGACATATCTAAAGAATCTGGAGATCATTTGGATTATGATTCCATAGGGAAAGCAGCCAGTCTATGAGACTTATGGAGACTTAAAGAATTCTTATAGGGGTGTGTGATGGATCCTCGGGACCCAGCATCTATTTGGCCCTGGATTCTAGGGGATGTTATTGACCTATCAGAACCCCATGTTTACAAGAGTCCGGCTCCCCTCAAGGGAGGCCAGGCGGAACCTGGAGGGTCTGTAAGATCTTGCAACCTATATGGACGTGGCGGGTCTTCGTGAGCCCCAAATCTTACATGGGACGTGGCGGGTTTACATGGGCCATAAATTCTACAGGGACTCAGAAGTATACACAGCCGGGGATGCCGGGTAGAAAGCACAGAGCCTGACGCCCACCAGGAGCCGCGTCCCTCACCTGCTTGGGTTGGAAAAGAAGTCACTGCAGCCGCCGAAACTGAAGCCTCCGCGCGCGGACTTCGGGTTCCCCCACCCCTGCCGCCGAGTCGCTCTAGCCGCCCCAGAGTCCACTTTACGCCCACCTCCACTCCTCCCGCCGACCGCTCTAGCCAGGCTCCTATCAGGCTTCTGCCCCAGCGACTCTACTCCTCCGCCGGCCGCTCTAGCTTTCCGCTGCGCCACGCTGGCCAGACAGGGCCGCTCTGGCCTGCCTTGGAGGGCCGGCGTTTCCGTATCTCGACTGCCCCTGTCACTCTCTCGGGTCCCGCCCCCTGGCCGGAGGTAAGGGTGGTTCCAACTCCTGGCCAGAACTCAATCCCAGATTTACCGACTCACTTGGTCCCTAAATCTCCCGACCTTGCACAGAGGGTCCCCGCTTTATTTGCCTCCCCAGCACAAGAACCTGATGAATTCCCAACGCTCATACATCAATTCCCTCCGCAATCCCACCACCTCCTTCCGCGGGAGCTGGAGAGCTAAAACCTTGGGGTTGAGCATACTTTTCCTTTTGACATCAGGGTAACACTGAAAATGCAATTACTGTTTCCAAGCCTCAATCTTCCCATCTGTACAATGCGGGAAGTTTCCAGCTCTTTCCCCTACTCCCATCTCCCAGGGTATAATTAACGGCCCAAAGAGGAGCTTCCCGAAAACGCTTTCAAACGCGCTGCTCTGCAACTCTCAGCTTCACAGCGGCCCGCGGGGTTATTGTTGTTGTTTTTCTTTTTAGATGGCCCTAGAGCGTGCAGGGATGGAGGACGGCGCTTAGCGGGAAGCAACTTAGAATTCAAATCCCAACTGCACACTGTCTCACAGAGTGTGTCGCTGGCACGAGTCAGTTCGGTTCCCTGGGCCTCAGTTTCCCCACCGGTACAGTGGGTGTGATCCTAGGTCCTGAACAGTTGGGAGCCTTGAGCCCAGCTCACGGCTTTCATCCCCACCCACTGGGCACTTGACAAGTCTTCGTGCGCTCTTTGTCCCCTTTGACAGATGGAAAAACTGAGGCCCCAGGAGGGCGGCCGCTGGTTCGGGGAGCTCGGAGGAGGCCCCTCCGCTGCCGGAGCGCCCCAGCCCCCTCCCTCCTCCGCCCCACTTCCCCCGGCAGCCAAGGGGAGGAGGCCGGGCGGGGCCAGCGACGGTGTACCTGGTGTCCGCGCGGGGAGGTGACCGGCGGGGCGCCCGAGGTCGGGCTCGGCGATCCCGGGCCCTGCGTCCCGGCTCCTGCTTCCTGGCTCTGGCGGGGCAGGAAGTTGGGGCGTTTTTCCGGAGGCCCCCGCCCCGCTGCCCCTCCCCGCTTCCTGCCCGCGCCCCGCGCCCGCCCGGCACCTCCGCTTCCTTCCCCTTCTCGCAGCCCGCGGGGCTCCTCCTTTCCCCCCGGCACCGGCTCCGCCCGGCCCCGCCCGGCCCTCCCGGCTCTGTCTGTCTGTCTGTCTGTCCGCGCGCAGCCGGCGGACTCCCCGGTCTTCGCACCTCCTGCCGGGTCCCGCCTCGCCGCGCCCACGGGCGGGGGCCGGGATGAGGCCCGCGCCGGGGCAAGGGCAGCCTCCCCTGCTCTCAGTCTCCGTGTGCCCTTGCTCTTCCTCTTTCTTCGCCCCTCTGAGCGTCCGCCTTCTGTGTCCTTGTCCCCTGGTCCCAGTCGCTCACTCCCTCTCCCGTGGGGTCTTTCCCTCCCTGGCCTGTTGATTGACCCTACTGTTCCTCCTCTGTCCCTCTCCCCCTTATAGCCCTTCTCTCTCCCTCTCTCATCTTTCTGCATCGCTGTGTCCTACCCCCAATTTTCTTTGCTTTCTCTGACAGTCTCCCTGGCCAGCCTCTCCGTGTCCTCCTGTCCAGTTTGCGGTGGACCGTCTTTCCTTCTGTCTCTTCCTTGCTGTCTCTCTTGCCCCCTCCTTATGCCTGTGCCTTGGATTCCCTGGGTCCCAATCATCCCTTCTTCCCTCGCTGGCTCTCCTGACTGCCTCTGTACCTCTCTGCCTCTCTCCTTACTTCAGTGACTGGGTTTCACAGCCTGTCACTTCCCCCTGGGTTTCTTCCATGTCCTCCCTTCGCAACAAGCCCCACAGTACAGTCCACTCTTTCCAGAGCTTAAAAAGGCAATAAAAAAAATGTGGTAGCCATGATACCCCTTCCATTTACCCCCTTTGCTTGGGGACAGGGGAGGGCTGAGGCACTACAGGGGGCCAAACCAGTCCTTTTGTGGGGGTGGGGGCTTTGCCAGGAGACTTCCTGTTCTGGGGTTAGGGGGGGTGGCCAGGTCTGGCTACCTGGTCCAGGTGTAGGGAGTGGGCAGGGCATGGCTTGGGCCCAGAATACCGGGTCTGAAGGAGAAGGGGGCTTAGGCCTGGACTCCTGGGTCCCAAGGAAGGAGGGGGTGCATCCTCATGAGATCCATGACTCCTGCCAAGATCTGCAGTTGGGAAGGATTTATTATCACTAAGTGGCCATGACAGATCCGGGAGGAGGGGGTGACACTAACGAGGCTGTTGTAATCAGCTCCCCTAGAGGCAGCGATTAAGGGCTCATTACCCGCTGGGGAGGGAGCCTGGGAAAGGCAACAGGGGAGGGCTGGGTTAGTGGGGGAGGGCAGCCTCCAGGGAAGAGTGGGACACTCCAAGGGGGAAGATGACTCAGGAAGCTCCCAGGAAAGAGGAGAGAACATTCCAGGAGAGAAGCTGGAGTTGGCTGCTCAGAGCAGGCAGGATAGGTCTGGCAGGGTTCCTGTGCAGAGGGAGGAGTCACGGCTTCTCCAGTTGGACATCTCCGATGTGGAGGCTGCCCACGTCCTGGTAGGTACCCTGGAGGCCCCTGGAGATGTCCTCATACATGGAGCAGTCATCGATGTTCAGGCCCTGGAGGGACACCATGGGGCCAGGGACATCAGTACCCTGACACCTGGGATCCCTGCCTCAGTCAACCCCAGGGAGGGACCCCTTGCAGGGATATGTTGGCAGGACCCCCAACATACGTATTCCTGCCCTGTCCCCACCGTCCACTTACTTCATAAAGATTTTCATCTTCGTAGTCATCCTGGGTGTCCACCCCAAACCTTTCATTCTGCCAGCGCTTCTGTGGGGGTTTGAGTGGGTGGTAGGAGGAGTGAGTAGGAGGAGATGGTGAAGAATTTTTCAGACCCTCCTGGATGCCAATAGTATTTTTCCAGAAAGGGTATGGGACATGCCCAAGGCCATGTATAAGCTATGTGACAGGTCTCTCTGGGGTAAAAGCTAGTGTCCTTTTGACTGTCTCCACTGCATTATTATTCTTCAGGATTGACAACCACAACAATAACAGTAAATAATAATAGTTGTGCTGTGGCCTGCAGAGACGAAGTGGCAAGGACAGAGTGACGACACAAGTCCTGTGTACCTTGCTGTGGGCTACATCTGCAGGGGACTGCACTTCTGGGTGCAGGCAGGAGGATGAGAGACCCTGGGTGCGTGAGCATCTCTCTAAGGAGGAGCAGTGGGGACACAGTGAAAGGGGAACAATGAGAACGACCCTCTAGCCCACACCACTTAAAATGCTCTTGTTGTGTTAGTTCATTTAACCCGCATCTCCCCAGAGAGGTGCATGTTTTCATTCTCCCAAGCTTTGGGGGACGGAACCCTGGGGGTCTCACCCTGAACAACAGCAGTGTCCCCGGCACCACAGCACAGAACAGCAGGATGATGCCCTCGGCTGTGATGATGCGGTTCTTGGTGCCCTCTCCCATGTCCAGGAAGGGTCTGGGGGGTGGCTCTGTGAGGAGGGGTTGCTGCTCAGAGCCTTGGCACCTCCTGTCCCCCAGCTCCTTCCTGGTCCTCTCCCTCCCCCGGCCAGGCCCAGAACCCCTGAGTCCCGGAACCGCAGGTGCGAACATCAGTCACTGTGTTCATCCAGTTCCAAGCCCATGACAAAGGCACTGGCTCTATCCCCATTTCACAGATGAGGAGAGTGGTGTCCTAGCCGGGTGGTGGGGGACAGGGCGAGGCTACTCACCTCGAATACGCAGGTAGGTACCGCAGGAAGACATTGATTGTCCATTATCTTCCACTCGGCACTGGTACACGCCCCCGTGGCTCTTGTTCACTTTTGGAATGGTCCACTCGCCCTTGGAGCCTTGGCCGGAGCCCAGGAACTGGGGCGGATAGGAGTGGTTGCCCTGGATGATGAGCCACCAGGTGACATTGGGCCTGGTGGCATTGTTCTTGCACTGGAGTCGGGCCTCGTCCCCCAAGCTCACTGTCACAGATGGTGGGCCCCCATGCACCCACAGGGCCTGGCATCCAGGGCCTACAGAGAGGTGGGTTGAGTCAGGGACTAGGGGTGGGGATGCAAGCCCCCGGGAAGCTCCAGCGCCCCTGGAGCACGGCCCCTCCCTGCTCACCCACTTTGGGCTTTGGCCTCTTCAAATTCTGACTTTTGAGTGTTTGATTTCCTAGGACTAAAGTGTCCCTGCCTAGACAGCTCCTCCCAGAGTCAGTGCAGACAGCAGCGCAGCCCAAGTCCTGCAGGTGCGTGTTCCCATCCGCAGTCTCAGGCCAGCCCTGCGCCCAGCACTTGACCCAGGGTAACCCCATGGCAGAACCTCTACTGAATGTGGGTGGGGGGCCGCTGAGGCCGAGGAGTGAAGGGGGTTGTCCAGCATCAGCAAGGTTGGGGCTGTTCGAGTGGCTCTGGGGCTCAGACTCCCAGTTCCCTAGGCCTGTCCCTGCCTGGCACCCGGCAAACAGTCTTGGCCTGCCTTGGCTTGTGAGCCTGGACCTGTCCCCAATTCTCTGTAACTTGAAAGTGTCAACCTAGGGGGCCTGGGTGGGTTTATTCCTTCCCCTGGGCCCAGGATTGGGAGGCGGCATCCCAGGGTGGAGACAAAAGTGTCTCAGAGGGAGGCAGGGGTGGCCCAGTGGCCACAGTGGTGTCTACTCTGGCCCCCTCCGGAAGCCCCAGCTCTCAGACTCCCCAGTTGGCTCCACTGGGCCAGMTCCCCGTCATGTCATCTGGAGGTAGGAGGAGGAAGGTGGGAAGTGGGGAAGACAGATGAGTTGGGGAAGGAGGTGAGCAACCTCAACCTCGTGGTCACTGGCTTCAGACTCAGACGTGAGCTCCAGTCCTGTTCCTAGGGTCACTGGGGAGAGTGACCCTCCTCTCTGAACTCCTCAGTCAGTGTTCTCACAGCCCTTGCCAGCTGGCCTTGGGTGGGGGACGGGGAGGAAGGCGGGACTAGAGATGAGGCATGCCCTGCCCTCCCCCCACCCCACTTGCCCTCCCCCCGCCCCCCTCACTGAGAAGGGGCTGCCTACACAGAGGGCAACTTTCATTTAGGGTAGAGGAGAAGATGTTTGCTCCCCTTTGGCTCTTAGTGCCACCCCCAAGTCCCCTTCCTGCCCGCAACTATGGTGTTCAATCAAGAGCCACCTTAGTTCCTCATTTTGACTTGTGGGGACAAGCAGGGGGAGGGGGCCTTCTAGGTCCTCCCTCCCTCCATGGGACTGTGGATGCCCAGTCCACTTCGCGAGCCTCCTCCAGGCTGACTGTGGCCCAGGTTGGGCCAATAGCTGTGATTTCTGCAGGGGTCTTCCCCAGCTCCCCCTCCGCTGGCCCCCTCCCTGCCCCCACTACCTGCGCCTGTCCTCCGGCCCCCGCTGGCCTCCTTCACCCCTTCGCACAGCACCTGCCCTTTGGCCACATACCCAGGCAGGCTGCGGACAGCAAGAAGAGGCCGCAGATGGTGGCAGGCAGAGCTGGAAGGACTCCTGGACCCCCAAGCATCTTCTCCGAACTGGTAGGTGAGTCGTGYTGCAGCAGTTTTGGGGTACCAGATTCCACTTCAAACCCCGCCCCACTTCCTGCCCTACCCTGCCGGAGATGGGCTCCACTGGTCTTCRCTGCTAGGCCTCCTGACTGCCGGCCTGGGGGCAGCCCCTGCCCCTTTGCTTCAGGCTGGTAGCAGCTGCCCCAGAGTAGGGAGAAACTACTTTCTGCACCTGCAGTGGCTGCAGTTCCCCTGAGGCGTGGCTGCTGGGTGGGGGCAGAGGCTGGTTCAGGCCTGGCTCAGCACTGGGAGGTCTGGGGACAGAGGCTTGAGGGAGCCAGAGTTCAGGGTGCTGGTGCCGGCTGCTGGCAGTCTGTGTGGTGGTTCTGAGCTCCGCTTCTGTCTGCTCCTTGACCTTGGGCAAAACTTGTTCCCCTCTGAGCTTGTTTCCGTACTTCTYGGGGCTGGGAACGAGGATTTTCCCTCTTCTGAGTCTTGGCTATTTTTTTTTTTTTTTTTTTTCAGTACTAGGGATCAAACCCAGGGCCTCGCTCATTCTACGCCAGAGCTCTGTCACTGAATTGCACCTCCAGCCTTGGCCTTGGCATCTGTAAATCCACAAGTTGAGGAGCAGAGGATCTCCGTGACACTGTGACATGAGACGCTGTGCCCAGCACCCAGGAGTTAGAACCATATGAGCACTTTACTAGAGTTCTTTTTTGGGGGGCGGGGCGGAGGAGTACCAGGATTGAATTCAGGGACACTGGGTCACTGAGTCACGTCCCAGCTCTGTTTTGTATTTTATCTAGAGACAGGGTCTTATTGGTTGCTTAGCACCTCGCTTTTTTATTGGAGTTCTTTTACATGGGTCTTCCCACATGGGACAACATAGGTCATTCGCCACTTTACAGAGGAGGAAACTGAGGTCCTGAGAAGGGAGGTTATCACTTTCCCGTTGTCATACAGTCTAGGAGTGATCTTGAGGGATTCAAAGGCATCTTTTTGTCCCAGGTTTTTTTGAGCCTGTCATGCTTAGCCAGGGAAATGAGGTTTGAGTAGGGAAGGAGGGAGTTGATGAGATACTTGTGAACAATTAGGGGACCCATGTACACATACACACACACACACACACACACACACACACACACACATACAGAGAGAGAGAGAGAGAGAGAGAGAGAGAGAATTCATGCTGGGTGCAGTGGTGCATACTTGTAATCCCCACGACTTTGGAGGCTAAGGTAGGAGGATCACAAGTTGGAAGCCAGCAGCCTGGGCAATTTTGCAAAAAAAAAAAAAAAAAAAGTGGGAGCTGCAGATGGAGCTCAGTGGTCAGTGGTAGAGTACCCCAAATTCAATCTCCAGTGCTGAAAAGAGAAAAGATCATGGCAGGGAGATTTTTATTAGCAAAAATCTAGAGGCAATCCAAAAAGTCATTTACAGGAGAGTGGATTCACAGGTTGTGACAGTCAACCAACCAAATACCACAGAATAGGGGAAGCGTCAATAGGCTGCCTCTCAAATAATGCGAGGATGAGAAAAAAATTTAGCGCGATGCAGTTGACTTGTTTTCAAAAGGCAAAACAACACTGGGTACTACTTTAGGATACAAGCCTGTAAAGGAGGTTTAGTCCCACATAAGGTGACAAATGCCCGGTTCTGAGAGGGGTTACTTCTCAGGGAAGAAAGGAGGACAGGGTTGGAGCACACAGAGGACTTGGCCAGTTTGGGTCTTATTCCTTGTGTTTCATTTTTGGTTTGTTTCTGTGGTGCTGGGAGTGAACCCAGGGCCTTGTGCACACATGACATGTGCTCTACCACTGACCTGCACTGCCAGACCCTCTTGTGTGGTCTCTTAAGCTGGGTGGTAGGTGTGTGGGTGGCTGTTATGTTGTTATGGATACTCTTTTGCATGCCTGAAGTATTTAATTTTTTAAAATATATTTTTAGTTGTTGATAGACCTTTATTTTATTCATTTATATGCGGTGCTGAGAATCGAACCCAGTGCCTCACACATGCTAGGCAGGTGCTCTACCATTGAGCCATAACCCCAGCCCATATTTAATAATTTTTTTAAAAAATGCAACTGTCACCCACAGAAGAGCCTGGGCTTCAAGAATCCAGGATTCTGTGACTTGCATCTCAGTTCTGCCAACTCACTGGTCATCTGAGCCTCAGTGTCTTCTCTTATAATATGGGTACAATTCCTGTTTGTGAAATGCACGAATATTATGAAGGCAGCTCCTAGGACAAGGTTAGTTCTTTTCTGTTTCTAGAGACCTGCCCTCTTCCTTCCAGAGGCCCAGATGTTCTGTTGGACCCCTGTTGTCACTGAATAGCAGGTTATCAGCCCCTCTATGCCTCAGTCCCTCCTTCTAAGGCCTTCCCAGGAAGAATCATGGGTCCAGAGCTGGAAGCCCTAGGAATTCATATTTTTCAGCGTCTTTCAGAAGCTGTTTCCAGGCCATTGGCTGCCCCCTAGCGGTTGGATAGGCAAAGCTGCAGGATTTCAGGCACATGGTCCAATTTACTTAGTACCTCTTTCTGGTGCCCCACCCTGTACAGACCAGATGCCTATATTAGCTCTGGGAAGTGTTTTTATCCTTGGTGGACAAAAACAAAAAACAAGATTCCAGAACTGGATGTTGACTGGTCTGGGGTCATGCCAGGGAGTGTAAACGCTTGTACCTCATTTTCTCAGCTTTTTTTCTTCTGATAGTGCTGTAGCAGGACAAAGCTGGTAGTTTGGGTTCAAATGGCTCTGTCACCCTCTAGCCATAGGACATCTCACAAATTACCTAATCTGTGACTGATYTTTCCTGCCTCCAGTATATAGCACTTGGGTGTACAAAATATTCTGAAGTACCTGGTGGTAATATTGTTTATTCAGTACCAATCTTTCAGCAGACCTCTAAACTGGGAGGGGTGGCAGCTTCATCTCCCACATGGTGCGGGAGCTGTAGGTTGTCCATCTTAAATGCAGTCAACTGTCTACCAGGAATGCTGCCAAGCTTTATGACTATCTTGCTGAATCCCTTAGGGGTAAATGGGAGTGAGAGGAGAGGGAGGATTGCATGGCGAGTTGCACAAGGTCGCCCAAAATTAGCAGAGATGGACTCTTTTCCCTCCCAGTGTTGGGGATGGAACCATCTTGCTCATGCTAGGCAAATCCTCCACCATTAAGCTACATCCCCAGCCTATAGCTGCAACTTAAAACTTACCAATCTCTCAAAACTCTCCCTCCACTCCAGGTTTTGCTTTCAAATGGATCTGGGTTAAGTATTTTGGGGGCTGGGCACCAAGTGGTCCTAACTGCCCCACTAGGGACCTAAGTAACAGGGATCTCTTCAGGTGTAAAACTTCATGGGTCCAGCCCTTTGCAAAGCTCTAGTAGTTGGCTCCATCAACACTTCCTTCCCAAGGCTCTAGGGTTGGATTTGTTACTGGGATAGGCCCATCCTGCCCATGCAGGCTCAAATAGGTACCAGTCTGGAAAATCACTTTAGGCAGCAGTGTGCACCTGTAACCCCAGCAACTGCAAGAATGCAACCCAAGTAACTTGGTGAGACCCTGGAGGGAGATGGGTCYGGGAATATAGTGCAGAGGCTAATTACTAAGGGTTCTGTCCTCAGCAAAGCCCCCAGCAGAATAGCACCAGTTCTGCAGGTACCTCTTTACTTCCTCCCAGGAAAGACACATGGGCTCTAGGACCATCCCTACTCTAACAGATGTCACCTCTGCAACCCAGCATCAGATTTGTCACTGCTTAACCAGTCACCCTTTGTTTCTTGTTCCAGAGAATTGTAAACACAGGACGTGGGGGAGGGATACAGTCCCCTCACTCACTGCAGGAAAATGTCCAGTTAGGGAGGTGTTTGAAGTGGGCAGACTGGCCTAGTGCTCTGCCAGCTACTGTTCAACATAACCATCCAGAGACCCCCTGGCCCCTAGGAATGTGCTTTCAGTCAATCAAGAGATCCAGACCAGAATTACGAATGAGGCAATTTATTAACCCAGCATCCTTTTGTTCTAATGCTTCTTGTTGGCAGCTGCCACCTGTGGGAAAAGATGAAGAATTCAGATGAGTGGGGGGTCTCTACTGTGCACTCCATGGCTACAGTAATACGCACACTAAATTCTAGATGCCAAATGTACTCATTTAATCTTCATAACTGAGGTCATCTTCCCATTTTACAGGGACTCAAGAAAATGGATGAGTCCATTTCTGCCCACTGCCCCATGAGGGGAATGCTAACCATCAGCACAGATGTTTGCRCCAGGCTCTCTTCCAACTCCCAGAGGGCAGACACCTTTCATTCTTTTGTGACACCTGACTGACTACACATTTCAAGGCTTCTAGGAGGCCTGAGCCAATGATTAGGAACCAACACAGAGCTCATGCCAGGACCCCTTAGGTCCTGGGGCTCCTGCTGTACTGCAGCCTGTTGAGAGTGGGTCATTCCATGACAGGGAGACTATAGGGGTAAAGGGACTTTGCCTGAGTGTCATCCACCCAGGATCTGGGGCCTGACCCAGCATGCTGAACCCGCCTGCTGCCAAGTAAGCACAAGATATGGGAAATGGAACCACCAGTGTGTGGGGGCAGATAGATGTGCCCTATAGAGGCCAAACACCATCCTGGCCTGGGATCCCTCTACCCCAACACCCAACTTAAGCAGAAATGATCTTTTTTTCTGCCCCTGGGCAGCCCCTTCCTGAGGTATGCCCTTCAGGGAAAGAAATAAGTCACAYCTACATGACAACAGGTTCTGGAAATTGGGGGAGTGACTGAGGGTCCCGCCCTGAACAAAGTCACATCTTACCTGTCCAGCGATTCTGTCCAGATCTCTCTGTCCCTGAGGTGTCAGCTTGCGGCCCCTGAAGGAGAAAAGAATCTCAGTCATTCCCTGTTGAGTACAGGCTCTCAGCCCCCTCCTCTTGGCCACAAGCCAGGCTTCCCAAGAAGGCACCTGGCTGAGGGACCACATACCAGCTCCAGCCAAGTCCCACCCAGGC